TGTGTGTGTGTGTGTGTGTGTGTGTGTGTGTGTGTGTGTGTGTGTGTGTGTGTGTGTGTCGTTCGTGCGTGCGTGCGTGTGTGTGTGTGTACGCATGTGTATATGTATGTGCGTAAATATGTAAGTATACATATATACATGTATGTATGTATGTATGTTTGTATGAATGAAAGTATTATGTTTGGTAGATATGTAGGTATGCATGGAGGTAGATGGGTATGTATGTATGTATGTATATATTTATGGATATTCGTATGCATGCACATATGTACGTTTGTGTGTTTGCTTGTATGCATGCATGCATATAAGTTTGTGCATATATGCAAGTACACTTTCCTGTTTGTTTCTCTGTATGCGTATATATGTTTGGATGTATGCATGTATAACCTGGGTGCCTGGGTGAAGGCAGCCCCCGGGACAGCTGACATGCACGCTGCAGCACACAGGCCGAAACCAAAACTTATGTACAACATACCGTCATGTCTTTTGCATCTGCCCGTGCCCGCTCTCTCTGGAGGGACCTGCCTGGTTCGGTTTTTGCTATTCTGTTTTTAGCTAAAATTATATTGTATAAACAATCCCTCTTATACGATGTCAAGGGTATATGAATAACACTGATTCGGCGAACATGACGTCACTTATCGTATTCTAATATGTCCTTATGTCACCCAGTACATTCCTCGCAAACAAAGTAAATAGAACGAACGGAAAAATAATCAGTGGTCAAGATGGGTAAAAATCTTTTTACCGTCAGTACATGCGTGAAAAACTGTAAGAAGAGCTGACCTGCGCTCAAACCCCGCACTGCCACTGGGTGGTACAAGGGTTATTCAGGAGCACAATAAACAGACAGCCGCACTTTGAAGTCACTAGACTCCGTCACACCAAACCCTAAATCTTTATCATTATCATTATGTAAAATGCATGCTTGTCATGAAAACCATCTCCATCTCAGGCCTATACCAAACTGAAGTGTCATGGAAAGGCCAAAGGCCCTATTTTCCCAGGGAATCCAACAGACATGCTTCGCCCGAGCAGCACTTTGGATGTTCGGCCAACACATCTCCGCTGGTAGGAATCATGTCCAATTAATCTTGGCCAAGTCCGATCCATCCTCAGGTCATGCTACCTTCAACCCACCGCTTCCAGTTATTCGTCGCGGCCATGCCAACCTAGCTAGCCCCAGTCCCGTCTTAGAAGGGTCATGCTAGTCTCACGAGGTGCAAGGTACCTGTGCCAAGTTTTCGGCGACGTAGCGGCCCTTGTCGTTGCCCGCCTCCAGCTGCAGGGAGCCCCACTCCCAGGTGGTGCGCAGCGGCCGCGGGTCGGAGCAGAACATCACCTGGATGAGGGCGTCTTCCCCCTTCTCCACCTGCACGTTGCGCTCCACGGTGTATCTCAGGACCTGGGGAGCACCTGCAATGAAGGAATACGTGCCAATTATGTTTTAGAAGAAAAGTTTACCCCCCCCCCCACCTTCATGGTTCATACAAGTGACGTAACGCACTATAAAATAAACAAGCACATGACTAAATATCCAATCAAATGAACCACTTTCTGATATAACATTTAGTGAGGGCGAACAAGACGAAAATAGTTTCTGCTTGGAAGGAAATCAAGACCTCTCCGAGACCCTTACTGGTAATTCGGCAAATAATTGAGCGAAACCCGACACCTTGTATCACATTCACATTTGAACCTTTCTACTCACAAGAGGCCCGTATGGCCCAACGTCTTAAACTCATCATCAAAAAACTTTCCTTTGTGGGTGCTTTATACAGTAAAGTCATTTAACTTTCGCTTACAATACTTTCAATGTGTTATTGCAACGAATCCGTGTTCTATAGGCCTAGACCACCCGAAACGCGATCGTGTTCCTCGCCGCTGCCTGGGACGAGCTTCGATCACGGAAGAGGACGCGGGGGAGGCCGGGGGAGGGGAGAGGGCCCTCTTGTGACTCTCCACACAAGGAGGCTTCACCAGTTCCTCAAAAACTCACTTAACTTGATCCCTACCGCGTTTCACGTGGTGCGCAACGAAAAAAAAAAGATAAATTATTAAGTATATCCTAAACATGAATACGAAAGCCATTACACCTAGATTTCATCCTAACTTCAGAAATAGCATTACAGAAAAAAAGACCAAAAAAAAGAAAAAAAAAAAACAAAAACAAAAAGAGAAAAACAAAAAAAAGAAACAAAAAAGACAATAAGAGAGAATTTCTGACAACTTCGCAAAAATCAGCATGTACAACATGACGCATTTAAACACCAATAAAAACATCCCAGTTCCCAGCATGAGAGATACCCGCATGATAGTATCCCTCTCGCAGGTTTCTTCTCCATAAAACAATTCATTAGTGCTATCAATGCCGTATAAGCGTGGACACCTCAACGATAAATGATTCATTAACCCTCGACTGTGAGCGCCGGTATCCTCATCCCGGAGCCGGATCCTCGACGGAGGACGGCAGCTCCGTGTGCCGTCCCCACGCCCCTCC